CCCTGTAAGATGCCACATGTTATATGTACGTACTCAAGAAAGACGCATTGAATTCCTACTATGTGGCAGGAACTCTGGGCTTGAATGACTTCATCTCCACGACCACTCTGTGAAATGGCTGGCATTCCTGTCTCACAGGGAACAAAACTGAGGCTCAGAGAAGTCATGTGACTGGCCCAAAAGGTGTCACAGTCTGGATTCAAATCCATGATTTTGCCTTTGCACTGCCCAGCCGGTGTGGCAAAAGCGGCAGTGTTTAAAAATCTCTGATCTTACGCTGTAGGTGCAGCTTAAAGACCAGCAAAATCTTTCTCCATTTTTCTCTCCCTTTGAAAATCCTGTTCAACTTTGCAAGTCCAGTTCAAATGCCAGGTCCCCGAGAGCCTTCCCAGAGTCCCCCATACCTGACTCACCACTCTTTCTTCTGGGCTCCGGTCATCTCCTGTGTCTCTGACATACATGCCATCGCAAAATGAATCACAATTAAAATTTGACATTTTTGCCTCCCTCACTTGGGTCTTGTTGCTCTTTCTGATCACACAGTTCGGGGCAAATAGGAGGTGCTCATTAAACATTCAATGAAATGAACTCAGCTGTCTGCTCCCCACCTGTACCTAATCCAGGACTTATTTCTTAGCAGCTCTTCAAGCCATGGGCCCTGCACCTGGGGAGGGGAGAGGGCGATCAGAAGGGACCAAAGGCCTGCTGGGCCTGGGTAGAATGGGGGTGCTGTTGGGAGCTCCAGCTAAGACTCGTGTGTTACCTCCAAAGTAGCAGGTCACTGGGGTGGATTTCCTACTCCAGGTGTTAGTAACTGTGCAGGGGCAAGGGCTGGTAGGTCACCATCCCCATTTTAGGGGGATGGGCCTTCTTTGTGTCACCAAACTCGAGTGCGCCCACCGAGGTCATTTAGGTCCTTGAAAGTGCTTTGTGATAAGAAGGGCAAACCCTGGTGGGAAGGTGAGCAGGGATTTTAGGGCTCCTGAAAAAGTGTCACTGTGTAGGGTGGGGGTGGGTGGGGCTTGTTTTCAAGCAGTTTAGTGGCGCCTCTTCTGTGTCTCAGTTAGTGGAAATTTCCCATCCCAGGCCACTCTGCCAGGCTTATGATAAGACTGGTTTGTGTGTGTGTTTCTTCTTTTTGTATTGGAAAAACTCAGCTATTCCAGGCAGATCTCTCAGCAGCTTTTTCTCCTCAGCTGGAGGGGAATCTCCAAGTCACAGCCACTTACATTCCAGCACTAAGCCAGCTCTGGGCCCATCGCTGTGACAGAGACATGGACCGGGCTTGCGACAGACCAGCAGGAGCAGAGTGGCTGATGACCTCCCAGCCCACTGCTGCTCCCACCCCGGCCCACCACACACCCCTGTCCCTCTCCCCCCTCCGTCTCTTTCCCTTCCTCTCCATTCTTCCCTCCTCCCCTACCACCCTCTCTCCTTTCCTTACTCCCATTTCTTATCCCCACCCCCACCCCCACCCCGCCTCTGGCAGGGGACGCAGGGAAAGGACCCAAGTGCATCAAGAGGCTGCTGTAATTCTGAGCTTCCAAGGAAAATAAAAGCGAAGCTACTTCAGGTCATCCTGGCCTGTTTCTGACCACCTCCCGCTGGGGTTGCCTGATTCAGGATCTTTTCTGAGATGGAGGGAAAGGAAGCCAGGAATCACACTCTTTACAAAATCATGGGAGCGGTTTGGAAACGAACCCCAAATGACCAGCGGCAGCAGTCCTTTGAGGCCTCCCCTGCTGGTGAGGCAGCCCCGTGTGAGCAGATGGTGGGTCCAACTGGAGCGCGGCCAGGCCTTCCTGGAGACCTGTCCTGCCTCAGCTCTCAGGTGGGGTGGTGCCTAGTTCCGTGTACCTACCACCCACTGCCCATGGCCTGTGCTGGGCCATTCCCACGCCTTCTGCAGGACATCTGCAAATCTGCCCCAGGGCTCTCAAACTTGAGCTTGTGTAAGAATCAGCAATGCAGGCTCCTGGACCACACCCTTACGGATTGGAGTCAGGAGGCGAGTGGGGTCCCAGAATCTGTGTTTTGAACCTCGACACCAGGCTATAAAGAGGAAACTGTGCTGATTCTGAGAGAAGCAGAGGTGACAGCCCTGCAGCACCAGGCTCTCCAGACCTGGCCACACTGCCTGCTGGGAGCCAGGACATGCTCCCCCGTCCTTCTAACTTGAGCCAGATTGTTCCAAGAGAGTGCTGGTCACGAATCTGAATGTCTAGTGGACTCTTCCCATATTTGTGGCTGATCTGAGCTACTGAGCGATTCCCTCTGAGACTAGTTTGTTTCCCCACCCAGCCTGCACAGGGGCCTCATGGCCAACGGTGGTGGGGCTGGGAGGGGGTGGAGGGAACTCATACTGTGTTTGAGGAACTTTGTGGAAATCTCTAGTTTATTTCTACCCATAACTTTGAGAGATATCATCTCCATCTTTCAAATGAGGAAACCGAGGCACAGTGTTTCAATCCACCACCACATAGGCACCAGAGAGTCCTGTCTTTAAAATGCCAGTTGGACTTGACTTAAAACCTGTTTCTCGGAGCCCTGAGGGAAAACCACGTTCCTAGAGTGGCCTGGGAGGACCTTTTGGGGCTGGCCCCTCCCTTTCCTCAACACCGACCTCCCACTTCAACTTAGTCTCGTGACACAGATACTTTGAGTTCCTTTCATACCGAGGCTGGCGCTGTTCACGTGGCCGAGGAGCCATCCATGCCTTCATTGTGGGTAACTCCCTCACCTGCCCACCCCCCACCCTGGAGTCACCTGCTCCCTGAGGCCTTTCTGGACCTATCCTGGTTGAACTAAGCACTCTGCCCTGTCACAGTGGCATGATACCACTCTTGAGCTGTGCATTGCTGTTGTCACCCCACTCTCCTCATGACACCAAAATGCCTTCCCCGTTGAGGAGGTTCCTGGGGCAGGAAGGCATCTTTGTCCCCTGGCAGTGGCTCACTTTGCATCTGAGGAACTAGGCAGCTCTCCATTTCCAGTGTTACATTAGGAATCAGAGAGGGACGTTTAAGAGGTCTCCAAATACCTGAGGATCACAAGGTTCCTCTGGTCATGGGCCTTGCATTTCCCCATCCCTGTGGAGATGAACTCAGCAGCTCTGCAGAACTTTAGATGGGTGGAGGCACCCGTGTCCTGGCTCTGCCCACACAGGATGAGCTGGAGCCTTTGAGCATGTCCCCTGCTGGGCATTGCTCATGAGACAGAGCCTGGATGGATCATGCATATCGTCCTCCAACAATCTGCGCTTGGCTTTCAGGGATCCCCTGGCTCTCTTGCTGAGCCCCACCAAGCATGTGGAGTCTAGCAGCTGCCAGGGAAAGTCCATTGTGGGACTTCCCTGCAGGGCCACTGAACACCCAGGAGTGTTGGCTTGAAGTCCTGCCGGCAGAGCCAACCAGGAGTAGCCCAGTACCCAGGCTCACTGAGGGAGCAGCTAGCTTCTGGAGCCCCAGAATCTGAACCCACTGGGCTTAAGTGACCCATGGCAGGGGGCCCAAATGACACACATGAAGCCACTTAGGCCTGATGCAAGCAAACCCCCAGCAACCCTCCCCGGGGTCTTCAGAGGTGCTGGTCTTTCCATAGAGAAACAGCAGGATGTCAGATGCCAGGCCCAGCCTTCCCCACTTCTGCCTGCTGTCAGGCAGAGTGCCCTCTGAGAATGTGGGGGCTCCAGAAAGATGGGCAGGAAGGACTTCTGGGGTGATCTGGGGTCACGCATAATGTCGCCTTTAAGCTTCAAAGCACACAGTGGGCCTTCTCATTTGTTTCCCTCCCCTATTAGGGCTACTCTACTGCATGCCCCTTCCCCCCACCCCTAAGCCAGGTGGGTAGCCCAGCTCTGGTTATGGGACCCTGGAGGTTCTGCAGGGGAGAGACTCAATTTGCACAAGACTGAATGCCTCACCCAGGCACCACTCTAGCTCCTAGACAAAACCAGGGGAGGCTCCAAAGGACCCATGGCAATGTGCAGACTCAGTACACCCATAGCAATATGCAAACTCAGTTCATATTTGGGACACAGCTTAGGGTCTGAACAGTGGTGGCGATGGGAAAGGGGTAGGCACTCAGATGGTAGACTTGCGGTTTAAAAAAGCCTTTTTTCCCTCCCCAAGTTCCAGGCCCCTTGTACCGCTTCCCAAAGGGTAGGAGTAGGAGCAGACAGGGAGGGGAAGGCAAGCCCTCCCAGCAGGAGGCCGCCTTCCTGGGGCTTTTCCCTGAAATTAGGGGAAAGGCAGGAATCAGGATGTGACCAGTCCCGCTTCCATTTCCCAGTGTCCCTCACAGATCCCCACCCATGCTGCTGGGATGCGGGCGCCTTCCCCTGCCTCACACACAGGCCCCTGAGAGCCACTCGGAAACAGAAAAGGGGCACGTTTATTCTACTTCTTAAAGGTGCAAGCCTTTCTCCCCTCAGGGTCCAGACTTATAGGCCTGTGCTAATTGCATGGTGATTACTGACCTGGCCCCGCATATACAGAGAGGGAGAGAGAAGGGGAAGTGTCCCTCACCAGTGGCATCCGGCCCCCACCACCCACTCTCTACCCTGAGGCTCAGCCAGACCAAGGGCAGAAGGCAAATCAGTCTCTGTGCTGCCTGTGGCCAAGTGTGTGACCCTCAGAAACCAGAAGAGAGGGGAGAGGGCTGCATGTTCAATGAGATACCGTCAGAGGAAGGAAGACTGAGATTAGGCTGTCTGACCCAGCACCCTGGGAAAACCCCGGGGGGGGCCTCCTCTTCTGTTCCTGAGGAGCAGAGCCCTGTAAACCAGGGTATGGGGGGGGGGTGGCTATCAGAGCCTCTCCTCCCCAGGACCTGGCAAGGTTCAGCCATGCATGCCAGGGTTTCATGCATGCCAGGGCGGTGGAACTGCTGTACCTGAGCCTGCGGACACAAAGCTCAGCCAGGCAGTGGGTCCCAAACGACTGCTGCCCTGGGTCTTGTGTGCTGCTTCCTGCAGGAAGGCAGTGGCAGGTAATGCTGGTGACATCTCCCAGCTGTGGGCCAGGAGGGAGGTAGGCTGATATGATGGGACCAGGCATAGTCCTGTGCTGGGTCCCGCAGTGCAGGCAGGAGTGCAGTGTTTGAATGATTTAATGCTTCAGCCGCCTCAAGTACTGGAGCTCAGACATCAGGAGCCGGCTGTACCCGGCTTAACCTGTAATGAAAGGTGCAGGTTAGCTTCTCCCACCCAGGCGGAGGGGCCTGCGGATCATACCCCAGGGCCAAGCACAGCTTTCAGGAGCTCCAAGGCTTCGGGTGCTCAGCTCTCTTCTGGCAACCTCCTGTCCCCTGAGAACTCCATGCTTCCCATCCCTGACTACACATTAGAGTCACCGGGAAGCTTATGAAAATCCCCACCCTAGGCGATGCCCAGAGCTTCTGGGCCAAGACCCAGGCATGAGCACCTTTAAAAGCTCTCCTGGTAAATGCAATGCAGGTGGGTTAGGAGGGGAGAGAAATGCAAACGGCTCCTTTAGGCTCTTTGGCTACAGCTCTGAAAAAGGAAGTGAAAATTCATGAAAATAAAGTTTTGAGCTATCTGTAAATAGGCTACTTATCACAGCAAGAGAAATTTATGTGGTACTAAAATTAGAATTTCCTGCCCATCAGGGCTGCTGGGAAAGGCTTTCCAAGAAGCTGTCGGCTCTCCCCTCGGTGGGTATTTAAGAGGATGAATCCTCCCCTGGCTGAAACGGGACAGGGAGGAGATGCCTCCTCCACCCAAGGAGCGTCGGAAACTCTGGAGACAACCACCAGCTCCTCCCGGCTTCCCAGCCTCCTGGCCCAATTCTAGGCCCCAGACTGGTGTGGCCTTGGGGGACACCTCCCCTTTAGTGATGCCTTCCCTGTGTGCACCCTCTCCTCCCTCCCCAGGACATTGCAGCCTCACCTGTTTAATCCCTACGGCCACACCATGAGGTAGACATATTCCTATATTACTGAGGCAGGAATTGAAGCTCAGAGCTGAACAGACCTCCCAGGGTCACGCAGTTGCTAAGGAGCAGAGTCAGGGGTCAAATGCTGTTGGAACCTCAGCGGTGTTTCTCCACCATGCCACTGGCTCCCGATGGGGAAGTGACAGACATAAAGATGACGGGGACGGTTCCTCGCCCTCGCCTGCATGAGTGTATGTGTATGTAGCAAGCTCACCGGCCTGCCTGGCTAGCACCATCTTTGGTCCTTCCTCCTCTTTGGACTTAAAATGTGCTTTGTGGGGTGGGACTAATAGATGGCAAGGTTTTTCCCCTTTCAGATGTGTTTATTTGATTACATGAGAGGTTGGTCCCTCTGATTTTCTTTTGTGGGTTTTACACAGAATCCGAAAGTCTGAGCCTGCCGCACCCCCAGCACCCTCCAGCCGCCCTCACCCTCAGGAGGGGGCTCTGCTCAGGTGATGAACAGGGTGTCTAATGCTGGGCCCACAGCCTGGGCGGCCCTGTGAGCATCTGCCCAGAACAGGGGCCCCACAGGCACTTAAGCCAGGCTCTGTACCTCAGTTTCCTGGCATATGACATGGAAGTGAGACAGCGCCATCCCCAGGCTGGGTGTGAAGATGCAAGGGTCCAACTGGGGAAGTTCCAGGCAGAGCCCACATTCACAGACACGGGTCCACATGCCCCAAGCCCCATCTCTGACTGCACTGAGAATGGTCTCAGCATCAGGGTCAAATGAATTCTCTTGTATATCCCACAGTTGCTTAAAATTAGATGAAATTTTCATCTCCGACTGCACTATATTCTTAAGACTCTAGTGGAAGCCTGGAAGCCTACACCTTGAGAAGGCAGCAACTCACCTGTGGACAGGCCAAAGCTCTGAGTGAATGCTTAGAAAATGGACCTGTGTCATCAGACTTGCTTGGGCAGGTCCAGGGCAGCTGGAGCACCCAGCCCTCCCTGCACAGAGTGGGACTCCTTACCCTTCAATGATGCGGTTGTTGTCCTGGAGGTCAAAGGCCAGCAGCTTCATCTCCTCACAGAGCTCCTCCATGCTGTCCAAGGCAGAGGCAAGATTGGCAGCTGTTCCTGGGACCGAGGTTGCCCTGACCGAACCCCTCCCTGGGATGCCCGCCACCAAGCCTCTCTTTATGCCCGCCTCCTAGGCCCAGGGTGAGGCCAAACCCCTGGGGCCCTAACTTTCAGCACTCTTTACCTACACACACACACACACACACACACACACACGCATGCACGCACATGAACATCCCTCTCTTGGCACTTACTGGAGACCCAGGTCCTTTAGCTCGGGACTGGTAAAAGGAGCTGTGGGGGCAGGTGAGGCCTGAGCCCCCTTTGCTCTGTCCTGAAGAACCTGGTAAGACAGGCAGTCGAGGATCTGAAAGGAACCACACTTTAGTCAGAGGGAAGAGCCAGCTCACCTGTGGGGAGAGGAGCTGCTAGGGAAAGGTAAGGAAAGGAAAGGGTAACAAAATGGCCCCAACCCACATCCCTGGAGCACCCAGAACGCTGGAGCTCTTCCCACGAGCCCCTCCTCCCCATCCTGGGAGTGGGGCTGGCACAACCATCTGCAGTATCTGCCTGGACTGCCAGGTTCCCCCCTGTGTCCAACCTACACGCCTCATGACACGTGAGCCAGGAGCTGCAGAGCGGGGGTAGGAGGCAGCCCCTGTGGGGTGGGAGGAGCTGCACTGGGGCTCCTAGAAGAAGCCCTTCTCCACTCCTGCTGGCAAAGCAGGTGGCTTCCCCAGTTGCCTTTGTGCTGGGCTCTTCACAGAGCTGAGGTCAGAGGTCAAGGGGAGCTCACACTGCCTCTCTCCGGAGTGGCCTAGAGCCTCCTGGCTGCAAGGGGTGTGAGGAAGATTCCCAGCATTCTGGAAGCTCTGCCCTTGCAGTGCCCTTCACTAGGTAGTGCCTTCCACTCTTTTTCCATCCCCACCTCAGGGCCCATTTGTGGGTCAGAGACCTCCAACCCACACCATAGTGCCTGGACTTGGTCAAGGGCAGCTCTGCTAGAGGCAGGGGAATGGCCCGAATGCCCCCAGGGTACCAGATTGACCTGGCTCCACGGAGCAGCCCCAGGTGCTCCTGAAGACCTCGCACCTTGCTGAGGCCCTCCTGGACCCCCTGGGCTTCAGTGCTGCAGGCAGCCATGGAGCAAGCAACCAGGCGCAGGTGGTTCCTGGCCTCGTGCACCACCCTGGAGAGAGCAGATACAGAATCAGAGCCAGGCTTGCCTGCTCTCACGGGGCCACTACACAGACATGGAGGAGAGGCTTCAGGACAGCAGAGGCTGGAGCCCATGGGTCCCAAGCATTTGCTCCCCACCACCACCACTGCCTCTGCCCACCTGCGTGTGCCCTCAACTGTCCCTGTCCCACTGTAAGAGTGCTCATGCTCTCACAGGCTGGTGAGGGTCCCATCACAACCAAGCGAAGGCTGCAAACACCTGTGCGCTGGGCAGGGTCACCCAGACCAGGCAGGATGAGCACACGGCCAGGCCAGGCTCCAGAGTGGCCGAGGACAGCCCACACTTAGTATGGGAAACCCTCAGGCTCCCATTTCCAGAGAAAATCAAGGTCGAGGCTCTTATATGACTTCTCTCTCTAAGTGGAGGGAGGAACCAGAACACTTTCTCCACTGCACAAAAAGGAAACCAAGTTCAGAGGGGTTAAACCAGTGCTTGATGCTCAACCCTGGCTACACATTAGGATCAGCTGAGGAGCTTTTAAACCGCTGATATCCAAGCCAACTTCAGACCAATTAAATCAGAATGTGGGGTGGGTGGTGGGGGTGGGGAGCTGGGCACTGGTATTCTCATGTGAGGATGGGTGGGTGCTTGGTCTCAGCCCACAGGTCCCACGGATCTCAGACAGACAGCACCTGGGAGACTGCCCTCTCTTCTCAGGAGGAACCAGCATTTGTGCAGGGAGGGGAAGGAGGGAGGGCTGTCTGCGAAGGGAGAACCCAATCTACTGGGGGCAGTGTGAGAGGGGTTCTGTTGAAGGGCCTCTGCCTGCCCCTGCTTCCTGACCACTTGTCCCCATCCTAGGGGGACCCAGAGAGGGAAGACTTCTTGACATGACCACCTGGGACCAGGGGAGAATCCAGATTTTAGGGGCAGTCACACCCATATACTAGTCCTGGGTTGCTATCTGCTAGCTGTGTGGTACTGAGGAACAGACTGTGGGGTTAAATAAACTAATGCCTAGCCACCCAGGGCCACAAAACTACCCATTTCTTTGCCTTTGTCCCTTTACCACCCCCTCCCTCTTGGTCAGGCTTCTGTGAAGCCAGGGCGGTTGGCCTGGAAGGGTGAGGTCAGGAAGGGCCTGGAGTCTGGGAGCTCGGGAGGGAGGCCAGATTGTTACCTCATGCGATCGCCGTGTGTGACTAGAGATGTCTGGTACTTCTGCACACACTCCTCCTGGAACACTCGCAGGAGTCTTTTGGCTAAATGACTAAAATTCACCCTGAAAGGAACAGGGAAACAGAGGCACAGAACTAAGCAGTCAGAGCCACCTGAGCACCCGCCCAGCATGTCTCGGTCTCCACCCCCTAAGTGCCCAGCCCCTGGGTCCAGTGAGGAAGGAGAAGGTGCCCACATGTGGGGACCGTGGCCATCAGAGTGGCTGGCACACAGCACAGGTCAACAGAGAGATGTGGGAGGATATGGAGACCCAGGGAACACACTCTCAAGCTCAGTCCCCAGAGGGAAGGCAAGATGGCTGTGGAAAGTGTGTGTGTGGTGTCAGGGGTCAGGGTGGTATAGAACTGGGGGAGTGAGTCCCCAAATAAGCATTAAATCAGGGGCTCCTGGGACATGAGAGGGCCCAGAAAACAGAGGGGCAGAGGTACACTCAAAGGAGATCTCAGGCAGAGGCCAGAGCAGTAGGTGGCAACTCAGTGAGGACAATCAGGGAAAGAAACTCTACAAACAGTCTTGTTCAGAAGTGAATCCAGTTTCATCGTGATGGCTTCTGAGGAGCCTCCCTCCAACTCAGCCACACAATCTCCTCCCCTGGTTCCTCCTGGCCAGCTACGGCCTGTGATCAGGGCCCTTCAGCACTTCTTGTCTGGCACAGAGAATTGCTCTGCCCTCCTGACACCCACCCTCCTGCCAAGGGACAGGCCACTCACTTATCCAGTTTGTGAATCTGCTCCTCGTTGTAGCCAAGCCCTGAAGGAAACAGACAGAAGTAATGTCACCTGTTACATAACAACATGGAATACCCAAGGGTTGGGGGACAGCTGCAAAGATGAAGACAGCCTGGCTTGAACCCTGCTCCATGGGAGCTCACAGCCCACTGGAACCAGGAAGGACGGAGGAGTGAAACGTGCACCCACGAAATTGCACTGTGACAAGGAAGGAGCGCACTTGGGACAGTGAATACTTCAGGTGGGAAGTGGTAGGTGGAACAGGCCTGAAGGATGCTTGGTCAGCCCCAACCCCTCAGCCTGCACCCGACCCAGAGTGACTGATGCCCACAGCCCAAGGCCTCGGCCCCGAGTACTTAAGCTGAAGGCAGAGCCAGCTGGGCTCTGCAGCAGGGAGCTGGATAAGCCAGGCTCCCACCCTTCACCGCCCCTTCTCTGCCCAGCCACTTTCACCAGAAAGGCTAAAATTTTCACCACCTGAGCACCGGCTGATGCTCTCTGCAGTGGGGAGATGCTGCCCCCTCCTGGGCTTCAAGGGAATGGGCCTCGGGGTCAGGGGCTTATCCGAGAGGAAACCGGGCAGAGGTTACCTTGCTGACCCCTCCACACCCCTAGTAGCAGAATCCCCTCCCTGGGCTCTCCATTCGGGCTCTGTTCACGGCCAGCTGGGCAGCTGCTACAAGTCCCAGCCCTGTCTCCTATTAGCAGGGGGCTGCAAGCAAGTGATGTAAGCTCACAGAGCCAGTTTCCCATCTGTCACATGTAACACAGGATGGGTGTCAGGGAAGTGAGAGTGCCCTGCTGTTCATTCCTGAGCATTTATCACAATGGCATCTTTCAACACTCCAAGAGTTATTCTTCCTGGTTCTTTTTTAATTTTAATAAAGGACTCTTGAAGACCTTATGGTACTGGCATAAAAACAGAAATATAGATCAGTGGAACAGAAAAGATCCCAGAAATAAACCCACGCCTATATGATCAATTAATATATGACAAAGGCAGCAAGAACATACAATGGGGTAAAGATAGTCTATTCAATAAATGGTGCTGGGAAAATTGGACAGATACATGCAAAAAAGATGCAACTAGAGCACCTTCTTACACCATACATAAGAATAAAATGAATGAGAGAACATATTTGCCAATGATACATCTGATAAGGGGTTAATATCCAAAATTTATAAAGAACTCATACTACTTAACACCATAAAAAAATCCAATTGAAAAATGAGCAGAGAGCCTGAATAGACACTTCTCCGAAGAGGACGTGCAGATGGCCAAGAGACATATGAAATAATGCTCAACATCACTAATCATCAGAGAGATGCAAATGAAAACCACAATANGCTCAACATCACTAATCATCAGAGAGATGCAAATCAAAACCACAATGAGATATATCACCCACAACTGTCAGAATGGCTGCCATCAACAAGTCAACAAACAAAAAGTGTTGCCGAGGGTGTGGAGACAGGGGAACCCTCATGCACTCTTGGTGGAACACAGATTGGTACAGAAAACATTATGGAGGGTCCTCAAAAATTAAAAATGGAACTGCCCTTTGACCCAGTGATCCCACTTCTGGGGATATATGTAGTTGTGTTTATGTCAATTACATGCTGAAACGAAAATTTGGATATATTGGGTTGAATAAAACATAATATTAAAATTAATTTCACCTTTTTATTTCTACTTTTAAAATGTTGGCTACCAGAGAACTCAACATTACATTTGTGGCTGGCATGATATGTCTATGTGACAGTGCTTTGAGACAATCCTAGGGAAGGAGAGAACTTGGCAATGAAGCCCAAGATTTTAGGAAATGCCTGGGGCATGGGTGGGGAGAGAGAGGGTCTGGTCCTAGCATTCGCTCCAAGCCCCAAGAGTCAACGGTGGCTTCCCTAGGTTCCCTCCAGTCCCCAGCCCCAGCTATCCCTGGGGTTGGACCCTCCTCTGCCCCAAGAGGGCAGTCACCTTGGACAAACAGCTTCCATCACAGAGCCTGTCAGCGAGCTACCCCTGCCCAGAGGCTCTTTGTGAGGCTTTGTACATAAAGCAGCCAAAGTGCCCCACCCAGTGACTCTAAGTGGTATTGTGATAGGCAGTTAGACATGAAGGTCACCAGGGAGGAAAGCCCCAGGTGCCTAGCAAAGGACAACTGTCGGGTGGGACCCGGCCCGCTGTCTTCCCCTAGCATTCGCTTTGGACCTTCTGACCTTTCCTCCCTAGAAATAACATCTAGGCCTCAGTTGTCTTTCAGCTCCAGGCCCAGAAAAACAGCAAAATCAGACAAGCAACACTATGGCTGACGTCAGGACCAGCTGCATTGGATAATGACCCCCTGCCCTGGTGCTGACCTAGACCCTGAAAGGACACACCTGGAAAGCTGCTAAATATTCTATTGAGATCCTCCCCTGGGACCTCCCCTAAGATCTCCACCCTTAAAATCCTTAGGACAAGGATCCAACTTGCTCTGCCTCCTGGGTGCACACCTGCGCCTTCCCCTCCCTCCTTCCCCTCCCCCT